CGTGCTCCGTCCTTCTACCTCCCCCTTCCGTCCGTTCTGTCCCCCCCCTCGTTCAGGGGCTGCGCTACATGCGCGTGGAGGTAAGGAGTTTATATTTCCAATCGGTTACGACCGAAGACGAAGAGGGCGGGTATCAAGGGTTTGGGATATACGTCTTGCAGGACACGCGAGCAGATAGGTGTGAACACTCCAAGCTGATTGTTGTTGTTGCTGCTGTGTTTGTTGTTGTTGCTGCTGCTGCTGCTGCTGTTGTTGTTGAATTTTCAATTCTGAAGAATCATTATTGTTGATTCCCCCCACCAGTGCATGCTGTTTTTTCTTAATCAACGTGTGCCCCTCGACGGTCGCACCCTGTTTTTTGACAGGGGAAGTCTTGGTGCTCAAACTGTGCCCCTGGCCCCTTGGATTACAACAACACCGGCTCCCGCTTCAGACTTTCTCTAAGTTTATTCAGGATCCCCGCTCCCGCTTGAGACTTCCTCACAATTTACTCAGGACTGGTGCTCCCGCGTGTGACTCCATCGCAATTTAGTCAGGGCCCCCGCTCTCATCTAAGGCTTCCTCACAATTTACGCAGGAACGGCGCTCCCGCCTGAGACGTCCTCGCAACTGAACCAAGATTTCTTCGCAATTTAATCAAGACCCCCGTTCCCGCCAGAGAATCTTTTAATTTTATTCAGGACTTGCGCTCTCGCCTGTGACTTGCATGCAATGTATGCAGCAATCGCGCTTTCGACGCTCAGGAAACACGCTGCACCAAGGACGCCGTCACAACTTACTTAGGAATCGCGCTCTCGCCATATTCAGGCATCCCTCATGAATGTCCCACCCGCCCGACCCGCCCGTCAGGGGATCGCCCGCCCGTCATGGGCTCCCGCCCGAGACTTCCTTCAGGAACGGCGCTTTCGCCTAGGACTTCCTCGAACGTTTACGCTCTTACCTTCTTGCTCCTCCTCCCTCTCTCTCCTCCCTCCTCCCTCCTCTCCTCCCTTTTCTCTCTCCCTCCTCTCTTCCCTCATCCTTATGCCTCTCTGCCCTATACATTCTCCATCCTCTCCCTCCTCTCTTCTCCCTCCCCTCTCCTGCCTCTTCCCTCTTTCTTTCTATCTCTCTCCCCTCTCTCTTTCTCTACCTCTCTTATGTGTCTGTCTGTCTGTCTGCGTGTCCTTTTTTTTTTTTTCTCTCTCTCTCTCTCTGCCTCTAATCAACCGCCCCCCTCTTCGCTCCTTCTCTCCTGGCGTTTTCCCTCTTCCCTTGTCCCTCCCCTTCCCTTCCTCCCACTCTCCCTCGTTCTCCCCCTCCTCTTTTTGCAGGGCCCACACCAATTCCAATGGCCGGCACATGTACGCCCACGAAGGATTGTCTGCCCGTTCAGGTTTGCCTGCCTGTCTGAGCCCGCCGCCCCCCGCAAAGAGAAATAATCCCCCCAAAGTGGGTGTGATCGAAGACCAAAAAGGCGGGGATCGAGGGTGTGGGGAACCCGTTTGTGAATGACACACGGGCAAGTAAGAGCGAACAGTCTTATAATGGTAGTTGTTGCTGTTGTTGTTGTTGTTGTGGTTGTTGTGGTTGTTGTTGTTGTTGTTGTTGTTGTTGTTGTTGTTGTTGTTGTTGTTATTGTTGTTGTTGTTGTTGTTGTTGTTGTTGTTGTTGTTGTTGTTGTTGTTGTTGTTGTTGTTGTTGTTGTTGTTTTCGTTGTTGTTGTTGTTGTTGTCGTTGTTGTTGTTCTGGTTGTTGCTGTTGTCGATGTTGTTGCGAATGCTGCGGTTGCTGCTGCTGCTGCTGTTGTTGTTGCGCTCTCGCGCGGGACAGTTTATATAGGAGTCGCGCTCTCGCGTGGGACTTCTTCGCAAGTCATTCAGACGATGCGCCGTCGGCGCTCAGGAATCACGCTCTCGATTTGGCTTCTTTCGTGGTTTACTTGGGAATCGCGCGTTCGCTCGAGACCTTTTCGTGATTCATGCAGGACCCACGCTTCAGCACCCCGCCTGCTCGACCTGATACCTAGGCCCGCCTTAGATGCACGCGGGAGGTAAGGAAGATGCACCCTCAATAGGGGTACGGTCAAAGACGACGAGGGCCGGTACCAAGGGTGATTTGCGTATTAGGTGGCACGTGAGCAGATAGTTGCGAACAGTCTTAACATGATTGTTGAATTTTCACCTTTGAAGACTAATTATTGTTGATCCCCCCTCCAGTGCACATTGTACTTTTTCAATTGAAGTGCCCCCCCCGGGCGTTCGCACTTGTTCATCAGGGAAAGTCTTCCTCCTCAAACTGTGCCCTTGGCCCCAGGCTTACAACAACAGCGGCTCCCGCTTGATATTTCCTCGGAATTATTCTGGTCCCCCGCTCCCGCTTGAGACTTCCTTGCAATTTTTCAAGAATCGTGTTCCCACCGGAGACTCCCACACCATTTTCTCAGGCGCCGCGCTCTTGCCATTCAGGAATCGCGCTTTCGCTGGGGACTTCTTCACATTTAGGAGTCGCTCTCTCGCTGGAAACTTCCTGGCAAATCGCGCGTCTTTCCCCACAATTCTTTCAGGACTCACGCTTTGATCCGCCCGCCGGTCCCGCCCGTTAGTAGGGCCGCCCGCCTGAGTTGCCTGTGACGGCAGGCCCGGCGGCTCGCTTGGAAACTCGCCGGGTGCTTTCACGTCCCGCACGCCCGGCCCGCCCGTTAGGGTCCGCCCGCGGGTCTGCAGGCCCCGCCCGCCCGACCCGCCCGTTGGGGACCGTTGCCCGACCCAACCGTCCGGGTCTGCCGCTTGTTTTCCGGATCGTTTCTTAAACCTCCCCTTCTAATCTTCCTCGTCCGCAGTTTTGCTCCTTTCCTTTTGTCCCTTGCCTCCTTCCCTTCCCCCCACTCCTTTCCTCCTCGCTTTCTCTCTCTCTCTCTCTCTTTCCCTCTCTCTTTCTGTCGCTCTCTCTCTCTCTCTGTCCTTTCTCACTCCTCTTGCTCTTTTAGGGGCCGCGCCCAATATACGTGGCAGGTCAAGAAGATGTACCCCCTAGAGAGGGTACGATCGAAGACGAAGAGGGCAGGTATCGGGGGTTTGGGATATACGTTGTTAGGTACGCGCGAGTGGATAAGAGCGAGCAGTCTCAAAATTATTGTTGTTTTTGTTGGAGGTGGTGGTCGTTGTTGTTGTTGTTGTTGTTGTTGTTGTTGTTGTTGTTGTTGTTGTTGTTGTTGTTGTGGTTGTCGTTGTCGTTGTCGTCGTCGTCGTGGTTGTTGTTGTAGTTGTAGTTGTTGTTTAAAACAATAATGGTTGTTGATCCCGCCTGCCTGGTGCCACTCGTTTTTTCCCAGTAAGGTGCTCCTCCCAGGGCTCGCACCTTTTGAGCAGTGAGGGTGTTGGGCGTCAAAGTACGCCCCTGGCCCCCGAACTATAAAAATCACGGCTCCCGTCTGATATTTTCTCACAATGTTTTCCAAGTCGCGCTCTCGCTGGATCTCCTCACAATTTATGCAGGAATCGCGCTCTCGCGTGGTACTTCTGAGCATTGTATTTGATTGCTTCGCTCATACCGCCGGCCCTTATTGCCTCGCCGCTGTCGTTTGTCGGGGTGTTGTTGTCAATGCGGTGCGTTTGGGCGGCTGCCAATTTTCGGAGGCGGTGGGTGGCGGGTCAGAGGCCTCACGGATGTTGGTTGGGCTCTGGTGGTTGGCCTCTCAGGGGCCTTTGGGAGGCAGCTTTGAGGCCTCTTGGGGGCCGTATGGGGGCCTCTTGGGGCCTCTTGGGGGCCTCTTGGGGCTTCTTGGGGTGCCTCTTGGAGGCCCCTTTGGGCCTCTTGGGGGCCTCTTGGGGCTCCTGGGGGCCTCTTGGGGCTGAAGGCTAGACTTTTCTTCCCTTCTTTGGCCCTCTTGGGGCCGTTTTGGGCGCCTCTTGGGCTGGCTTGGGCGCCTCTTGGGCTGTCTTGGGGCCATCTTGGGCCGTCTTGGGGCCCTACTGGAGGCTTCGTTGGCCGTCTTGGGGCGGTCTTGGACGCCTCTTGGGCCGTCTTGGAGCGCCGGTAAGCCGAAAAGGCGAGAACGCCCCAAACCGGCAGAAACTGATGGAGAATCACTAATTTCTGCCTCTGTGGGCCCTCTTGGGAGTTCTCTTGGAGGCCTCTTGGGCCCTTGAAGGATTTTTGGGCTGTCTCGAGGCAATATTTGGCGTCTTGGATCGCTCTCGGACCGTCTCGGACCATGTTGATCTTTCTTGGAGGCCACTTGAAGCGCTCCTGGAGCGCGCTCTTGGGAGCCTGCTGGGTCCTGGTCGGGACCTCCCCGGGACCTGGCCAGGACCTGGCCAGGACCTGGCCGGGACTTGGCCGTGACTTGCGGGGGTACTTTTCGTCTGGGGACCCCAGGGGCGGCCCCGCGCGCGCGAACTAGAAATATTGTTAACCAGTTACCGGAGATCTTAGCACGCCCTTGGCCCGTTGGGCTGGCGAATTGTAACGCCTCGCCTTCGACACTCCTGTGGACTTCAACAGATTTGCTGCATGGGAATCGCGCTATCAACCGTCTGGGCTGGCCTGCCCGACCCGACCCGCCCGACCCGCCCGTCTGGTTTTGCCTCTTGTTGTGCTGCTCCTAACCCCCCTCCTGCTAATCCCTGTCGTGCTGCATCCTTCTCTCTCCGTTGTCCCTTCCCTCCTCACTCCTCTCTTCCCCTGCTTTAGGGGCTGTGCCAAGTACATGTGGCAGATAAGGAAAATGTGCCCACAAGGAGGGTATCACTGAAGACGAAGACGGCGGGTATCGAGGGTTTGGGGTGTACATGTTGAGTGGCACGCGAACATAGAAGAATGAACACAGAAGCCTGTCTCAAACTCTCGGGTTGTCGGCCAACCATAACGGAACAAAGCCCAAACACAGGAAAACACAGGGAAACAACGCCGATCTTGAAAGCGGGAATCACGGACCCCCAAAGGGCAAAACAGCGTCGATCGTGAAACCTGGGAAAGGAGAGCCCGGCGTTTGCAGCATAGTCTTGGGGACGGGCCAGGTGGTCAACTCCCCTTGGCAGCAGCACCACAACTTCGAGGCCCCGGACGAGTCGAGGGCCTGGCCTGGCGTGCCGGCTGTGCCGCCGACACAGGGAGGCGGAGGCGCAGGCGGCACCCCGCGATGCTGAGGAGGAGGAGGACGGGAGGAGGAGGAGGAGGAGGAGGAGGAGGAGGAGGAGGAGGAGGACGAGGAGGAGGAGGAGGAGGAGGAGAAGGGTAAGAAGGATAATAAGGATCAGGAGGAGGAAGAGGAGGACGAGGAGGAGGAGGAGGAGGAAAAGGAGGAGAAGGAGGAGGAGAAAGGAGGAGGAAGTGGACGAATAATCATGATGGCCTCCTTCTTCCAATTCGCATCGCGGCTGCAGTTCAAATGATGTCGAGCCCTGGGCTTTCTCTGGCTTTACGTCATGAGCTGACCTTCTGCCGCGCCCCTCCCTAGGCTGAGCCGTCGTGTTGCGCGCGCGCTCTCTCTGTACATACATGTAGATGTAGGCATGTATGTATAAATGCATGTATACATGTATGCAAGTATGCATGTATGCATGTATGCAGGTATGCAAGTGTGCACGTACGCAGGTATGCAGATGTGCAGGTATGTATGTATGTATGTATGCATGGCCATACGCAGTCATGTATGTTTGTATATATGCATGCCTGCATGCACACATGCATGCATTTATTTGTGTTTACGTTTGTATGTATGCATGTCTGCACGCAGGTATGCATACACTTATGCATGTATGCTTGCATGCATATATATATATATATAGGTGTGCATGTATGCATCCATGCATGCACGTATACATGTTTATATGCATGTGTGAATGTATGTGTGTATACATACATGGTGTATGTATGTATGTCTGTATGTGTACACGTATGTATGCATGGGTATGCGTTTATGTATATGTATATGTACAAATTTATACGTATATGCAAATGTTCACTGGTTATTCATGTACACATGAATATGTAGCTGTATAGTTAGATGAACATGTTCATGCGTATGTCTATATATATATATATATATATATATTATGTATGGTTCTAAATGTTTAGGTATGTGCACATGTACGTGTACAGATATACATAACATGCTCATGCACACACACATACATGTATATATGCATGTATCGGTATGCACTTCTGGGTTATATGTGCACGTGCACGTTTATGCATGTGTATATGTTTACATATGTGTATACGTGTAGGTGCATATGTAAATTAGATGTCGATGCACATGCGTATATATGTATAAATGTGTGTGTGTGTGTGAAAACCTGTGTGTATTATTATGGCTCGTATATATTCAGATGCATGATCATATGTATATGCGTGCATGTATGCATGCACGTATCTATATAGCACGTGTGTGCGTACGATCGTATGTATGTATGTACGTATGCACGTGTGTGTGTGTGTGTGTGTTTGCTTGTATGCATGTATATGTGTTGTGTATGTACGTACGTATGTATGCATGTACGTATGTGTGCCTGTCTGTATGTATGTATGTATGCATGCATGTATGTATGTAGCTATTATGGTCTTCGGCACATCGCCACTTTGCCTGGGTTGTATATCAGAGGCCTCTGATATGTTTGTTGGGATGTCGCGGGGGGCTTCTTGGGGTCCGTTTGGAGGCCTCTTGTGAGCCGTATTGGGGCCTCTGGGGGCGTCTTGGGAGCCTCTTGGGGTCTCTTTGGGGCCTCCTTGGGGCCTCCTTGGAGCCTCCTGGGGGTCTCTTGGGTCGGAATGCTCGGATTTTCCGTTTGTGTGTTTCCCCTCTTGGGCCCTTCTTGGGGCTGTCTTTGGGCCCTCTTGGGCCGTCCTCTGTCGGGCCGTCTTGGAGCCCTCTTGGGCCGTCTGGGGGCCCACTTGGGGGCCTCTTGAGCCGTCTTGGCACTGTCTTGGGGGCTTCTTGAGCCATCTTGGAGCGTCGGAAGCTCGAAAAGTCGAGGACCTCCCAAACATGGGAAGCCTGAGGAGCATCAATGATTTTGGCCTCTCGGGGCCCTTTTGGGAAGCTCCCTGGAGCTTTCCTGGGGCGCCACGAAGGCTCCTTGGTCCGTCTGGGGGCCATCTCGGGCTTCTTGGACCGATCGTGCGGCAGTTCGGGGACCTCTTGGACCGTCTGGGCGGCCTGTTGGGGCCCTCTGGGCCCGGGAGATTACCGCCAAGGACCATACCCCGACGCGCTAGGACAATACGAAACTTCACAGGACCGCGAGATCGTATGGTCCTGTAGAGCTTCGTATGGTACTTGCGCGTCGGGTGTATGGTCCATGCGCGTCGGGGTTTGGTCATTGCGGGTTGTTTGACACTGTGGTGCGCGGGCGCAGCAAAGCCGTGTAGCACTTTCGCCCCGCGCGCGCGCCCGGGCAGGGCCCGGGGGCCGACGCCCGGCGGCAAACGGAGGCTCCACAGGACCGTGCCCGGGCTCCACAGGCCCAGACCCGGGCGGAGCAGCGGGGCAGCGGAGCACTTCTGGCCCGCGCGCGCGCGCCCCAGCAGGGCCAAGGACCGACGCGCTGGTGCCATGCCCGGGGCTCCACAGCACCGTTCCTGGGCTCCACGGGCCCAAACCCGAGCGGAGCAGCGGGGCAGTGGAGCACTCTCGCCCCGCGCACGCGCCCCGGCAGGGCTCGGGGGCCGACGCGCTGGTACCATGCCCGGGGCTCCACAGGCCCAAGCCCAGGCGGAGCAGCGGAGCAGTGAAGCACTTTCGCCCCGCGCGCGCCGGCTGCTTTGCCTTGGGGCACGGAGAACTGTTTTTGGCATGGTTCTCCCGTCGCGGCTGGTTCACCTTGCTCTTAAGGTTGACTGTCCTGCCCATCTCTTGTACTTCGGTGTGCTCGTCCACGCGTGTCCCTGTCTGCTCAAAGTTGCTGGCGCTATCTCGGAGGTGATTCCCGCGGGGTGTATTCAGTCTATGCCATGGGTGAAAGCATACCTGCATGATGTGCTCGACCAAGCCCATCGGAGGTTGCCTGCTGTATATCTTCGGTCGTATGTAAGCGACATTGCTCAGTGTATTTGAAGTGCGCGCAAGCGTATACTGTCTACTCTGCCTAGTGCTGCTTTGCCTTTCACGTGGATGTGAAGTCCACGACTGCGCGTATTGTGTTTACTGAGTCGGCGGCAGTGGCTTCTAATGTGTAAGTTAGCTGGCACAGGGTCCCAGCGCTGCCCTCGCGGACTAGCACGTGCCCTCTAAGTGTGTCGCAGGTGAAGGATCCAGGGGCTGCTGGTAGGAAGAGGTGTGCGTGGCAGGTCAAACCCAGACGGCGCAAGGCATTAAGGGGATCCCGTGAGCTTGCGTAGTTTGCCCGTCTCAGAGGGAAGGCTAAGAATTTGTGCGAACCTGTTTTTTTTTGTCCGTAGGGTCCTGGAGCTATTCCGCGATGGGCCTCGCGATGGTCGACGTTGAGGGTTTTCGGTCGACAGCGGCGCAGTGGTCAGGACATGGGAGCTCGGTTTGCATGCGCGACCACCACGCTTGCGATCACTGATGATGTCGTGGATGACGCCGCCATTCGAATCAGGACGGTGCACTTGTGCGTCACCGCTAACATCTGGGCTTGTTGTACGACGGGCAAGAGCGCGAGGTGGAGCGTGCGTGGCTGAAGCATGGGGGCTGGCTGCGTGCCTTCGGTGCTAAGGGACGGTGGGGGACTGAAAAAGGTCTTCTCTCCGCTGCGTCGATGATCGTGATTTATCCATGGCTCCACAGCTGCGCCTGCTACCCTTCAGCGTGTGATTGGTTCGGAGGCTGCTCACCATTTCTACGGAGCGGGGGGGGGGGAGGTTGCGCAAGGGGGTGTTGAAAGATGCGGGGAACGCCCTTTCATGCTTACCGGTGTTTGATGGGTTGGGCCTTGGCCGGGACGCCATGGTGCTAGATATTTAGCCTGCGGTATCGGTCTGCTATGTTGCGTCGAGAGGGAGACGCCCTTGCACTGAGTATGGGTTTTGCAATCGAATGAGTATGTCGGTGCCGCCTTGCACGACGAATATTATCGGTCTGCTTTCTTGAACTGAGATGTCCCGCCGCTTGTTGCTGCAGTGCCTTCTCTTCCCCCACCTTGCAGTCTTGTGCAGTCTTGGTGTCTGTTTTATGACAGGGATTTGGTGGGGGGAGGCAAGGGCGGACTGGGCGACCCAGGTGGTAAGTATGCTAAATCTCATGGTTTACGTCGACATGGTTGGTCCGTTGTTCGTCTGGTTTAGGTGAGCGTTCATGATGCTGAGTTCAGATGTGATGCTATTTTGTTCGGTGCACTGCCAGCAGCGGCTCAGTCGAGCCCGCGCTCCGAGTTGTACGCGTTCATTCTATTGCTTGCTCACACCTCGGGCACCGTGGTGGCCAATACCGACTATTCCCCGCTCGTTCGGGGCCTTGGACGAGGCCGATCGCTGGCGCCCAGGACCTCACTCATGTTGGTTGGATCTGTAAGCCGAGGTTCTCTGGACCAAGGCCCATTCTGGTAGGCCTTTGCGCGCAGCCTGGGGAATTTCTGAGGCTGAGCTTTCCTGGAATGTTTGGTGCCGATTCGCAGATTCTTTTGCTGGGAGGGCGGCCGCCTTAGGAGAAAGCCCCGATATTTCTGTTGATGTTGTGAGTGAGGTTGACAGCATGACCTCTCGCGTGCTGCAGCTCCTCCTTGCTGGAACCCTCGAAGTCAGTTGCTCGTGCGAGCGGCTGAAAGCTGACCAGGTGGGTCGTCCCCACCCCGTCCTCCTGTCTTTCCTTCTGGTGCTATTCGTAAGCAGCGACTCGAGGCTGCAGTGCGTGCCCCACGCCGTGTGGTCGCGCGTTTCGTTTGCATTGTCTGCAACCTCAAGCTCGCAAGTGTTCCAGGCCAGGTGTGTACTCCAGATTTCGTAATAAAAGGGAGGGGGTCTGGACCCTCCAAGACAAGCCATTTCAGACCTCCCCCGTGGGAGAACCCTCCAAAACATCGTCCCCAAACCACCCCAGGCCCTCCAAGATAGCCTGGACGAGACCCCCCCCCGAAATGAGACCTCCCTCCTTTTATTACGAAATCTCAAGTGTTCGCAATGTAATCTCCTCCCTTTCATTACGAAATGTAATCTCACGCTCGCAAGTGTTCGAGGCCAGGTGAGTAACCTCTGGCCTGGGAGGTGTTTGGGCCCGCCAGCGCTTCGGCAGCAGGAAGGGCCGTGGCGGAGCTGTTGTTCCCCCTGCCGCCATGCGGGCCCGCTTCTCTCACGTGTTGCCGACTCGCCGAGGAGAGTTGTTCTGCCAAGGGAGTGGGCGGTACGCTATCCCGGTCGACGGACGAAGCGTGCCCAGTGGTCCTGGCGCGTTCCGAGGGCAGGCCCCTCCCCTGGCCCCACCAAAGCCGGGGCCAGCGGTCCTGTCCCGACTGTCCCGAGGGCTGCCCCCAGAGTGTGGTATGTGCTGTGTTTCCCCTCGGTTTGCATTTTGCCCCCAAGTCCTGGCCAGACCCGACTTCGCCTTCTCCTCTTCCTTCTTCGTCGCCTCCTCCTCCCCGTCCCCGTCCTCCTCTTTCTCCTTCCAGGATCTCTCCTCTTCCTCCTCACCCTCCTCATCCTATGTCCTCCTGTTCCTCCTCCCCCTCCTCATTCTGCTCCTCTTCGTCATTGCTACTCGTCGTTGCCCCGTCCGCGAGAGGGCAAACCCGTGTTGCCGCACCAATGGCAAAGGTTGGGTGGTAACGGGGGGGCACATACCTGTTGATGCACGTATTCAGCTTGCCGACTCCGTGTAGGTACTTTTCAGCCTAGAGAAAGTTGCATTAGGAACATCTCCTTGGGATCAGGCGTCCACGCGCCTATTGCAGGTTTCGTAAGTCATCGTCGCTGCTCACCCTCCCCGTGGAGTTATCCTCCTCCCTTCGGGAATCGTCCTAAGGTAGGGCCTCTTCTGCCTCGGTTCGCCGCTCGACCTTGACGCGGCGGTTCCTCCAGCAACGCTCTCGCGCTGGCCTGTCTTCGGATGGATCGGCGCACCTCTCACCACGCCTCTCCTTCTCCTTCTCCTCCTCCTCCTCCTCCTCCTCCTCCTCCTTCTCCTCATCCTTCTCCCTGTCCTCCGCATCCTCATTCTTCTCCTCCTCATTCTCCTTATCCTCCTCCTCCTCCTCCTTGATCCTCCTCATCCACTTCCTCATCCTCTTCATCCTCCTCTACTCTTCTCTTCCTCCTCCTGCCTGGCCCTCCTGCCTGGCCCTCCTGCTGCTCCTCCTCCTCCTCCTCCTCCTCCTCCTCCTCCTCCTCCTCCCCCTCCTCCTCCTCCTCCTCCTCCTCCTCCTCCTCCTCCTCCTCCCATTCCTTTTCCTTCCTTGTCCTCCTGCCCCCTCCTGTTCCACGGGATCAGGCTGGTGCCAAAGTCAGGATGATCCTCGATACCATCGTGGCCTTTCTCCTGGCCTTCGCCAGGGTGAGGGCACGAAAATAACCACACAGATGAGGAAGAACAGGTGGGAACCACCGAACGACGGTCCTGTTCCACCTTCTCCTCCTCCTCCTCCTCCTCATCTCCCCCTCCCCGTCCCCCGCCCCCTCCTGCTCCTCCTCCTCTTTCTCTTTCTCCTCCTCCTCCTCCTTCTCCTCCTCCTCCTCCTCTCCTCCTCCTCCTCCTCCTCCTCTTTCTCTTCCTCCTCCTCCTCCTCCTCCTCCTCCTCCTCCTCCTCCTCCCGTCCTCCTCCTCCCGTCCTCCTCCTCCTCCTCCTCCTCGCCCTCCTTCCAGGTTCCCTTTCGGTAACCAGCGGCCGCAGAGAGGGGGTCAGACCGCGCAGGCGCCGCCTCCGTGTCTCATGTTGGGGTCAGGGGCCTTTGGTCCCACCCGGCGTGGCGTTGCCAGCGGTGGCTCCAGACCTGAGGTGATCCTCCAGACGCTTCCAGGAAGGCTCAGGCCCTGACACGCTCGTGGGCGAAACACATATTCGTATCTGCGGCCTCGCGGGACAGGCCCCTGGGCCACGACCCCGCGGATGCGGGGTGTTTTTTTCGCGGATGCCCTGCGCGGGACGTATCCGTGCGACCGCGTACCTGCGGGATCGCGCCCCAGAATCCAGGCCGCGAGGGCGCGCATACGGACATGTTCGCCGCTCGTGACCTGCTCGCGTCGCTAGACGCACTCGCTGGGAGTTTTTTTTTTTTTTTTGTTTGCCGTGTTCGGCCCCTGGGGGCCCTCGCCAGGCCCCGGGACCGTTAAAAGATGATTTGGGAGGTCTGAAAAGCCAGTCCCAGGGTCGGGCGCTGCTGGAGGCGGCCCTGGCCCTGAGGTGATCCTCCAGACGCCTCCAGGGAGGCCCAGATTCAGAGGAGGAAGAGGCACTGATACTGATGCCCCTGCCACGTTTTCGCCTTTTCTGGGCCTCCCCCGGGGTTCTCGTCGCTACGGCTGGATTCGCTTCGAGAATCTGGTCAGAATGTACCTCGAGAGAGATCTAGAGAGTGGCGGTATCGGTACCCTCTTATCCTCCCATGAGCACCCTTCGGGAGGCCCCAAAAGCCCCACGGGCTCCAAGGCGGCGCGAAAAGCTGTGGGGGGCTCCTCTGGGCCAGGAGCACCTTCTGGCGCCAGCTGGGCTGGCGATCTGTGATCGCAGTGCGAGCCCTGCTGCTGCGGGGCACATCCCCCAAGTTCTGAAGCAGCCGCGGGTTTGAGGAGGAGAGGAGAGGGTTCGCCCCAAAGTCAAGGGAGGAAAGTCCATCCCAGCCCCGACCATTGGCGTCTAGTAAATGGCCATGGGCGTTCACTGATCAGCCCTGCCCTGTTCGATTCCCTCCTTTGGCACGTTTACTCAACGGCTTCGCTTGTCGGGGTGCGTGCTACGGGGGTGGAGTTTCTGCTCTCTACGAAAGGGCTGCCCGCAGGAGCGCGGGAAGGCACCGTCGCCGGTCCTGTAGCGTGGGCAGCCTGCGGTGTGACCCAGGCGCCAGAAACACGTTCGACCTGAGCCGCCGAAGCTCAAGCCACGATTTCAGGCTTTTGGTAGTTTTGCCGTGCGCGTCCCCTCCCAAGTCGGCCTGTGCAGCCATGGGCAAAGCTGGAGCTAAGAAGAAGCTCCCCAACGCTCCTCTCGGGGAGAAAAAGAAGAAAGCTGCCAAGAACCCGCTGTTCGAAAAGGCTCCGCGAAATTTCCGTCTCGGCGGCGACATTCAGCCGAAGAGAAACCTAAACAGGTTCGTGCGCTGGCCCAAGTTCGTCCGACTTCAGAGGATGAAGCGCGTGATGCTCATGCGTCTTAAGGTGCCACCAGCGATCAATCAGTTTAATTTGGCGATCGACAAGAACCAGGCCGCCCAGCTCTTCAAGCTGATGAAGAAGTACATGCCAGAGACGTCTGAGGAGAAGAAAGCGCGCCTGATGGAGATGGCACAGCAGAAGAAGGACGGCCAGGAGGTGAAGACAAAGAAGCCCCAGGTCATCAAGTACGGGCTGAACCACGTGACGACCCTGATCGAGCAGAAGCAGGCCAAGCTGGTGGCCATAGCCCACGACGTGGACCCCATCGAGCTCGTCGTCTGGCTTCCGGCGCTCTGCCGCAAGAAGGAGGTGCCCTACTGCATCGTCAAGGGCAAGAGCCGCCTGGGCCAGCTCGTGCACAAGAAGGCCGCGGCGTGCGTGGCGCTGACCTCCGTGAACAATGAGGATCCCCCTCGCGGAGGGACGGGAGGGGGGAGGAGGTGCCGGGGATTGGTTCATACGGTGAAGGTCGCCCCCCGTCCCCCTCCCCCCCTCCCCGTAAAGATACCGAGCGTACGGTGGGGAGATCTCAGTTACCCCAGAGGCACGGCGCGGTGTTCACAGGAATGTTGTGGTGCTCACAGGCCTGCTCTGGTGCTCACAATCATGCTGTGGCGCTCGCGGGCCCGACCTCCCCCTTCCCCCGTAACTGACTGTACGAGGGGGGGAATCACATATGAATCTCTTGGAGGAGGGGGCCGGGAGGGGGGCTCTTACCCATAAGAGGAACATAGACCGATACCGCTGTGCGTCCAGGTAAGCTCTCGTCGCCATGGCTGGATTTGTTCCGAATTTTCTGGTCTGGTCAGAACGCACTCTGGGAGAGGTCGAGGGAACAGCGGTATCGGTATTTGTCTGTCCCACCGTCTGAGGAACTCCTTCCCGACGGGCCCTAGGGGGCTCAGCGCTTCATGCTTTTGTCCACGCTTTCTCGCCCGACGTCGCCCGCGCTCCTGGGCTCTTACTCGTCTCGTGCGCGGATGGGGTAGCACCCGGAGTGCGTCAAAGCTGGCGAGGCCAGGTGGAGGGAGGAAGGTGGTGGATGAGAAGGTGGAGTGAGGAGGGGTGAGGACGGTGGGGAGGGGGCAAGGACAAGAAGGAGCTCGAGACCCTGGCTGGTAACTTCAAAGGCCAGTTCAACGACAACGCTGAGCACCGCCGTCGGTGGGGCGGAGGCAGTGGGTGCAAACATTCCCTCCCACCCGCCTCTCTCCCCCTGTTCCCCCTCGTCGCCGCCGCCGCCGCCGTCGCCGCCGCCGCAGCCGCCGCCGTCGCCGTCGCCGTCGCCGCCGCCGCCGCCGCCGTCGCCGTCGCCGTCGCCGTCGCCGTCGCCGTCGCCGTCGTCATCGTCGTCGTCGCCGTCGTCGTCCTTCTCCTCGCCGTGACACTGGCGGCTGTCTGGAGGCCTACGCACGCAAATCCCAAGCTGGTGGGGAGGTCGTGTGCTTCAGCGCTCGGCCCTGGCAGGGGCCTCCAGACATGCAGGCGTGTGTTCGTGCGTCGGTCTGGGGCAGCGCCCCCGAAGGCTCTCGTTAGGCGCAGTTGCTCCCCTTGGGCTCGGTCTGGACCTCGTCCGTGTGGGGCGCAGGGTGGGTGGGTAATTTGGGCACCAGCGAGCTAGCTGATCATCAGCTAGTGAACGCCAAACGTAACATGTATGCATGTATATATGTATACATGTATATGTATATATATATATATATATGTATATATATACGTACACATATGCACATGCACATGTCCACATGTGCATGCACACATGTGTACACATATGTAGAGACATGCAAGTACGCATATTTGCACATCTCTCTCTCTCTCTCTCTCTCTTCACATATATACATGCGCATGTGCAGCCATATGGTATATGCATATGGGGTCGATGATGTGGTAGGGAAGAAGGGGGTAATGATGCCGCCCATTATGTGGGAGAGGGGGATGAGGGGGGGGAAGAGGAGTGCCGGAGTGTGGAGATGGTGGGGCAGTGAGACATGGGACAGGGTGTCGGGGCGGAGGAGGACGAGGAGGAGGAGGAGGACGAGGACGAGGACGAGGAGGAGGAGGAGGAGGAGGAGGAGGAGGAGGAGGAGGAGGAGGAGGAGGAGGAGGAGGAGGGGAGGAGGAGGAGGAGGAGGAGGAGGGGAGGAGGAGGAGGAGGAGGAGGAGGGAGGAGGAGGAGGAGGAGGAGGAGGAAGAGGAGGAGGAGGAGGAGGAAGGAGGAGGAGGAGGAGGAGGAGGAGGGGGACGGAGGAGGGGGAGGAGGAAGAGGAGCAGGAGGAGGAGGAGGAGGAGGAGGAGGAGGAGGAGGGTGAGGAGGGCAAGGATGAGGAGGACGGACAATCTGGAGGGGGAGCAGGAGAATCTACGGGAGTGCTCGTAGGCATCATGGGCATCAAGTCGCAGCACGTCATGCAGCGCCGCGAGAAGGCAATCCAGATGGAGCAGGCAAAGAAGCTCGGGCTGCAGATTGCGTGAGCACAGCGGGTCTCCCTCCTCCTCCTCCTCCTCCTCCTCCCTCTCCTGCTCCTCCTCCTTCTCCTCCTCCTCCTCTTCCTCCTCGTCGTCCTCCATCCCGACCCCCCTTCCCTTCCCTTCCTCCATCCCTCCCTCCCCCCTCCCCCCTCCTCTTCGCCCCCCCTCCCTCCCTCTCTCCCTCCCTCTGTCCTCCTCCTCCTTCTTCTCCGTCCTCCTTGTCCTTGATGCCATCGGGTGAGCCTCAATCGGCTAATTTGTCGAAGGGAGAACGCTGGGTCCCCTGACCTTTCCTGTATACATGGACTCTCTCCCAGAAGCCTTACACAAGGCAGGCTGCGGAATCGGAGTAGGAGTCCGCGTTCCGTGCGCCTGGGTCGGCTGCTCGTGGCGGGGCACAGGCATGCCCGATCCTGTCCAGACCGCCGAGCTCACCAGAGCACTCCGCGAGGGCACGCAGCTTCCTCGGGCAGCGGATCTAGAAGCCGATCTTACGCTGGAGGCCTCTGCTCTGGCCGCACTGGATGCCACCGCGCCATTGCGCCTTGCTGCAATTCTACACGCGGACGACCCGGTTCTGCTCTCTTCCACTCGGGGAGGAGCGCAGCTCGCGCAGAATGCTCTAGCCGAGTGGGCTTTTGCTCACAAAGCCAGTCCGCATACCAAGCCCTCCAAACACGCTGTTGTAGTGCATGGCTCCCCGGAGTCCCGGAGGGCAGGGGCGGCAGCAGCTCCCCTTGTGCTACCGCTCCGGGGAGGGGCGCCTATTGAACTAGGGCTCAAAGACACACACCAGTGGCTCGGGCTACTCTGGTCTGGTGACCTCGACTTCTCGAAACTGCTCGATGCAAGGCTGGGCGCCGCTTCCGCACAGTGCGCCTCCCTCGCGGGGCATGTTGCTGCCGGAGTCCTTCCGCTCGCTGTGGCGGTTCGCATCTTCGAGACCCAGATCGAAGGCGCACTGCGCTTCGGGCGCTGGATGTGGGCAGTTGCGGAGGGGGCGTCGGACAAGCTTGAACAGAGCTATGGAGCGTGGGCGCGCGCCTTTCTGGGCTGTCCGCCCTGGCGAGGGCAGGCCCACGCTCCCTTGGAGTTGGGCTGGGCTCTCTCCGGGCCTGCCAGGGCCGTGTGCGAGGTGGCCTCCCGGCGGGCCGGTCTCTGGAGGCTCCCCGACGCAGATCTCTACAAACGGGTATTCCTGCAGGCCCACGGGTCAGAGGGCCGCACCTGGGCGCAGCTGTCGCTTGCCCTCCTCGAGGCTTGGTCCATCCCGGATTGGCCTGCTTGGGAGGGAATGTATGGAGGGTCGTCCCTGCACGCATACAAGGTCCACGTCCGGGCCCTCCTGAAGGCGCGGTGCGGGGAGGAGCTGCGGAGGCAGGCGGGCGTGCTCCAGAGGCCGCTTCCGGTCCTTGCTCTCGGCCCAGTCCCCAGGACGGACCTGGCCGGGGCCCTCAAGCTAGGGTTCCCTTTCGAAGTGCTACTGGGCCAGCGCTCGCTCAGCAGGCTTCGGGGGCGGTTGGTCGCCCTAGGGCACTCTTCTGGTTCCCTCTCTTCGGCACGGAGGCAAATGTGTGTGCTCTGCGGGGAGCAGTTTCTGGGTCCAACCTTCCACGTTCTCGGGAGCTGTGGCAGTACGGAGTTCCCCAGGCGCGCTTTCTGGGAGGCCCGAGGGTGCACAGCTCCCTCCTCCAGAGAGGCTGCGGCCACGGCGATTCTGTCGGCTGCCCCGGCAGACGCGGGGTACAAGGAGGCGGCGCTGCTTTCGCTCCACGTGGAGAGGGAGGTGGATCGCTTCTGGGCATCCGCAGGCAACAATTACCTCCCCCCTCCCGCCCTCCCTCCCCTCTGCCCGGGGCACTGAGGGGGTTGTTTCCTGGTCTGCTGCTCGTTTTTGGGGTCTCGTCGTGGTCACGGCAGGATTCGCCTGGAAATTCTGGTCTGGTGTTGGAAGCTTCGGCTTCGGCATCTTTCGCCCCCCAGTCTCCTGGCAGGCGGGTCGGGTCGGGCTGGATCCTCCCCTCCCTGGGGTGGCTTCCTCTCCCTCCTCCTGTCACCGTCCCGTACCTGCGGGGTACGTCGACCAGGCAGCGTGGGGGGATCGGACGAGCCCCAGGCAGGTGCTCCCTGCCTGGCCCCCCCCACATATGGCGGGGAGTCTCTGAGTTGCCTCTTCTGCTTCGCCCTGGCCGGGGTTTCGGGCGGAGGTCCTTGTTGGAACTGTGAGAATTTTCGAAAGCTTGCACGGTTTTCCAGGGTCGGTTCTGTGCGCCGCCCTCTTGACTCCGCGCAGGTCTTGGAAACTGCACAGCTCTTACCAACCCTCCCCTCGACCCCTTCAGAGCTGGCGATCTGTCTTCCAGAGCCGTCGCAGCAAGGTCGCTTCCGAACCCTCCCCGGGTCGTGGCCCCTTGCTAAAAGGAAGTCTCGTCCGAAGCTTCCGCCGCCAGCTCAAAGGGAGCACACCATCCATCCATCCATCCTCCCCCCTCCCCCCTCCTCTTCGCCCCCCCTCCCTCCCTCTCTCCCTCCCTCTGTCCTCCTCCTCCTTCTTCTCCGTCCTCCTTGTCCTTGATGCCATCGGGTGAGCCTCAATCGGCTAATTTGTGAAGGACAGCGTGGGGGACTGTGTACATGCGGGGATCGTGTGTGTGTGTGTGTGTGTGTGTGTGTGTGTGTGTGTGTGTGTGCGTGTGCGTGTGTGTGTGTGTGTGTGTGTGTGTGTGTGTGTGTGTGTGTGTGTGTGTGTGTGTGTGCGCGTCCTCCCGCAAGCGCCAGCCATTACGATTTTGTGGCGCTGTGCGACCTCATCTTTGCGTGATCGTTGATGCGCTTTTGGAAGCATGTTTGCTGGCGTTCGCCGTATTGCGGATAGATCAGGTTTGATTTGATGTTTACTCAGGTTCTTGGAACCTTGCGCGTTGAGTGTTGTCGGGTCTTTATGGACCTCCTCCTCCTCCGCCCGCCTGCCTCCTGTTCTTCCTCGCCCTCCCGTTCCATCCCCTCCTCCTCCTCCTTTCCCCCTTTTCCTCCTCCTCCCCTCCCCCTCGTCTTTGTCTTCGTCGTTCTCCTTCTCCTCCGCCTCCTCCTGATTGTTCTCCGCATCCCCCCCTCGTTCCCCCTTCGTCCCCTGCTCTCTCTGCTCCCCCCTCGTCTTTCCTTCTCGCTCTGCCCCCCGCTCCCCTGCCTCCTCACCCTGCACTCCTTCCTCCTCTTCCTCTTCACCCTCCTCCCCCCCCGCCTTCCCCCCCCCTCCTCCTTCTCCTCCGCCTCCCCCTCCTCCCCCCTCTCCTGGCCGCAGGGCGTGCTCGCCGCGCCCAGGGCCTCTCGGACCCCCTCTCCGAGCCTGGCGGCAGCGGTCGAGAAAAGGGGGCGGGGCCCTCCCAGAGTCACACAGTGGTACCAGTTTGAAGCGTATCCTTATGCCTGTGTTTGGCATCACGTCGCCTCGATGCCGATCTCAGGGATTCCCTCGGTTTCTGAGGGCACATCTCGAATATTGTCCTCGCTTTTTGCTCGCCCATCTTAGGGATAGGGGTACGTTCGAGGCTGGTTAACAGTTGGCCAGGCTCGGTCGGCAGCCGCAGGAGGGAGGTCGCATGGTTTTTCAAACGCGGTAAATCTTCGAGGTGAGTGGAAGCGGGCCAAGCCCTGGGACTCCGTTTCAACGTCCGCGGCGGTCGACCTGGGGGAGCGCAAGGCGTTCCGAACAAAGAGCGCCCACTTTTGCAAGCAGCGACCTGCGCGCGAAGCTGAGCAGCGAAACCGCGGTGTGCGGGGGTCGGCGTCCCTCTCTCTATAAAGTCTACGCTCGAGTTTGATTAGTAGGTCGACCCTGCCAAATCAAGGGTACCCTTGTGTCCTGTGTTTGGCGGCCCCTGCCCTCTACATTCCTATGGAACTGTTGCCCTCGGAAGGGTCTTGTGTCCTCTCGCGTGTCCTCTACAATCCACCCTGACTGTATTGGATGGGCGTTTTTTCCGAGAGCGCCAGTGTCCCAGACTTCTGTCGGCTCTGACACCGTGCCGGGGGATTTGAACACCCTGGAACGATCAGGCGCCGACGTTTTTTTGCACAGCCCGCCTGCCGCAGGCGGCGAGCTTTTCCCAACACGGCGTGGGTGGGTCACGGGTGGACGGGTGTGGGTTGTTCATGCTTGCATGGTCTTCGCTTTTGTCCTTCATCCCCTGCGTTCGCCGCCTTCTGTGCAGATAGCGACATGTCTTCAGGAGCACCCCGTGCATTCACATGCGTAGATTTGAATGTGTGCTTGTGTGCCCGACTCCGCAGATTCCTATTACGATTCGGTCAACGATGAGATGGATGTGGTGCGCGGGAGGATGATGCTACTTGCCGCGCTGAAGGACAGGTCCGGGCGGCGGGAGTCGGACCATCATGCTATTGACTCGGGCCTCTGTGCCTCATTTTCTTTCACGCCTCTGTCCATCGAGCGGGGGCGACGCACCACGACTGGAGTGGATGTCGCAGCCTCCTCCTCCTGGGGTGAATCCTTATCATCCTCCTCCGCCTCCTCCTCCATCTCCCCCTCCTTATCCACATCCTCACTGTCCTTCCACCCACTTCCTCTTCCGCCTCTTCCCTCTCCACCTTCTCTCCCTCGAGTGGGTGGTTGTGTGCGAAAACGGGGGCACGTTGCCACTGGGGGCGTCCTGGACGCTTCCCACGTGAGAGTTCCTCGGGAATCCCGCAACGGTGCGCCAGGCACAGGGTTCGCCGATCACGGTGGGATTTCGGGGATGGGAAGGAGGAGGAGGTGGAGGAGGAGCAGGAGGCGGAGTTCAAGGAGTTTGAGAAGGACGACGAGACGCAGTAGTAGTAGCAGTAGTAGTAGTAGTAGTAGTAGTAGTAGTCGTAGTCGTAGTCGTAGTCGTAGTCGTAGTAGTAGTAGTAGTAGTAGTAGTAGTAGTAGTAGTAGTAGTAGTAGTAGTAGTAGTAGTAGTAGTAGTAGTAGTAGTAGTAGTAGTAGTAGTAGTAGTAGTAGTAGTAGTAGTAGTAGTAG